GAAGGCGACGGAGGCGACTCCGAAACAGTACGTAAGGCTGTTGACATCTGATCGAAAGGGGAACGCCCAAGGAATGATACGAGCGATGAACCACGAGTCGTACTGACATCGTTGACAGATTCGGACAGATCAGTCCGATATGGAAACGAGCTGCATCTATCCGCTCGAAAAGACACCAACACGGACGATGCTGGCCAGCCATCCTTGTGTCTTTCACACCGCAGCACCTATCTACACCCAGATAGAAGATCGTCCTGATAATCAGCCGGAGGATTTCGTTGGCCAAGTGAACACGGAGGACACGGCATGAAGCCCAACTGGCCAGGAACCATATGCGTTCAACGACGATCGCATCCTAACGTAATGTTTTGGGTCATCACGAACTGCCCGGCCCTCTACGAGTTCCCACTACTCAGGATTGCGTCGGCAGTAGCAGCTCGCGTTAACACTAACATCAGCTACAGCAAGTGCTATCCTGAGTTGCTGCCCAATGATTCCCGCCTCGTCTTTTCGACCCAAGGTTATCAAACTCTCATGGTAGCCGCGCAGGGCCCATACGTTGTTCGGATGTTGCCTTGCCCGCGGTAGCGTATCATCGAACCCAAGGTCTGCTTTATAGGCCGCTGCCGCATCCTCTATTCGGCCCTGCTCCAACAACAGAGCGGCATAGGCGTGTCGTGTCGGCTGCATCCAGGGCCATGGCTCGGCGTACACCAGGTCGTCGTCACGCTGGATGGCTGTTTCAAGGTGTCTGAAAGCTTCCTCGTAGTTGCCTTTGCGGTACTCAAGTTCGCCGTCCAACATTGCTATGCCAACTTGAAGGACGATATTAGACCTGCATGGGTTAGTATGCCCTTATAGCCCGCCATTCCGGATAGTTTGACTGTATGCACCGTACCTGTTTGGAAAATCCCCGCATATCCGAGATGCTGGAATACGTTCAACTGCTTCGACCAGAGCGTCGTGTTCCTTCTGTGCCTTCACGATATCGCCAGTAACGGCATACGCAATACCTTTGCCATAATGCGTCATAGCCGTTGTCACACAGTGAAGATCTCTATCCGATGGCATCTCGAGTGCGATGAGATCTTGCCATTGCCCGAAGCGAACCAGGACATGTACACGAACTGATGCAAAGTTCTCCAGCCAGTCTGCCATGGGCGGACTCTCGATGCGCAGAAGCGAGACAGGCAGCGAGGCTTCCATGCGGTCGACCACATCTAGCGCAACCTTCAGTTGCCCCGCAAACATCGCTGCGTATATGAGCGAGTGATAGTTGTGCATCATGTAAAATGAGTAGAAGTTTTGTGCTCCATGCTCGGAGACATACTTCTCATCTGCAAGGCAGGCTTGGGTGTTAGCGTCTATGGCACGTCGATAGTCGCCAACAAGGATATCCAGATGGGACGGCATATGTCTACAGGTCTCTAGAGTTAGTATGTGCTTTACGGAGGCTTCTTGCATGCACTTACAGCAAATGTCCTCCGTCGGGGGTAAGATGTCTTAGCTGATCTGCACAGATAAGAGCTACTTCAGGCGTTGCTGACATCTCCATCAAATGAATGTACAGGTGGAGAACTCCCGGGTGCAGATGTGAGCCGTCCTGCTGTAAAGCCTTTTCGAGCACGGTCTTCGCCTCTAAAGAGCGAGCACCTGGCGTCGGTTGGCCCGTCTTGAGATCCCATAGATTCCATGCCGAGAGACAGACAAGAGAGTCTGCGTAGAGAGACGCCACGTCAAGGTCGTCAGAGAAACGCTCGTAAACACCCTCCATAGCTTTGGCATACTCTTCATTACATGCTTGGAACGCAGCCTCATCTAGACCTTTCGGCACGCGCACTTGGACGGCGTCGATCAGGGCTCTTTCCAGATCCGACGCACTGGAGGCGTGTAGTTCGGCCTTTTCGTTCGCTTCATTTATCTTTCCTAGTGTGGCCTTGAGTTCTTTCTCGTCAAACAAGTCCCAAGGCTTGTTGTAATTCGGTCCGAGGGCGAACGCGAGCTGCGCCGATCAGCTGGGTTTACAAGACATCCCTTGGAGACCATCAGAAACCTACACCCCAATAAGCTATCGCGCAATTCGAGTCTTCGCTGATAGCTCGTTCAAAGCATCGGGCTGACTCCTCATGGTGAAAGGCGTAGCACCAGACCAAACCGCGATCGAACCATGTTTGCGAATCTGGGCTGGAGGTGCTAATCTTGCGATGGTAAGAACCCAGATCGTACTGGTAGGAAGTTGAGTCGCGCATCGTGGTTATCGCTGGGTAGGTGTATGAAAGGCGGGAAGCCGACGGGTCGGCCGGAGGTGGGGCCCGAGTGGGGTCTTTCCTTGGCCTCTCTTCCGAATTCCCGCGAGGATGGCCCCCAACCCAAACATCACTCGCAGGCCACTGCCATCACATTAACACCCGGCCTGCCGTGATCAAGCAATCGCTGACCGATGGAATTTCTCTTGCTTTTTGTGTGACTACCTCACTATCCAGGCAGCTATTAATATAAGTTTCTTCGAATTGGCCCCAGTGTTGTACACGTGTTGCTATCTATAGCGCCTGAAACTTCCCTCACGGCTTCAGGCAGATGGGATCACGTAGATATCCGCGCTGTATTTTCTTGGAAAGCTCTTATTTGGTCGCCGACGCACATCGTGGCAATTACGATCATGTTCGATGTTATTTATATATTGGTGCAGCGCCTTGAGGGGAAGCCCCGCGGGAAAGCGTGCTTATCTCGTCCCGACTGTTTCCCCTCCAACATACGTACCTATCTGTCCAAAACCACGTTTTCGACAAGCGCTTTTGGACTTCATGTTTTCTACTATCAATATGCATGATGCGCAAGTTCTGGTCCCGCCAGCTTCTTAGTGAGTGCAAATTGCGACGCACTGAAAGGAAGTGGATAATGGGGGCCAGAAGTTGCCCTTGCCGTTCGTGCATACTGTGAGGTCACACGGCTGAGGTTGGCACCACTGGCGGTCCAACAGGCATCTCTCATCAACAGCTCCATGGGCGTGGCTGACTAGACCTGGGGCGCTTTCTACGCTGTTGTAGTTTCAGCTCACTCAGCCATTTGTAGCAGCCTTCCGCTCCATAATCGTCTGGATGCGATTCATCTTTCCCACTCACCATGTACTGAGTTTCTAGTGTACATACAAACTCCAAGATGAACGACGGAAGATCGATATCCCCCGAGTTTAGTCGCTCGTCTGCCACTTCGACAAGAAGGTTCGGCTCTTCGCGGAGACCTATGTCCTTCGCAGCAACGCATAGCTTCGCAGACGATGCGGATGCTTCTGAAGAGCCTCTCGTACACTCCAACTCTACACGTCATCTCAGTAACGACCCTGCCACCGAGCGAGCAACTGCAGTCTCGAATCACAGTCCGGATGTCCTAAGTCTTGAGAAAGCAAGCAAAAAGTCTTATCGACTTCGCAAAACCATGCTCTCATGGATTTTTGAGATTCTTGCATTGATCGCAAGCGTTGCCTCAATCGCTGCGATCGTCATCATTCTCATTGGTCAGAACAACAAGCCGATCACAGCCTGGACCTTCATCTTCACGCTCAACACCTGGGTAGCCGCTCTCGGCACGGTAGCAAGAACCGCTCTGGCATTTTCTATGAGTGCCTGCGTTGGACAGCAGAAATGGAGCTGGCTTAATCGAAGGTCAGATTCTGTGCTTGCATTCGAGAGGTTCGACGAAGCAAGCCGAGGACCCTGGGGCGGGTCTCGTCTTTTCGTTTGGTTACGTTTCAGGTAAAGACACCTGACACCGTTAGCACGTATCGCAAAACTGAATTACTTGCAGACACTGGGCAGCATTGGGTGCTCTAGTCACCGTAGGTATGTCATACCAGGTCGACCTACACCACTTTTGATAGCAAGCTTACAGCACTTGTTAACGCGAGACGCTGCAGGATACATTAGAATCGTGCTGACATAACTGCGCTTTTGTAGGTACAGTCGCGTTCGATCCCTTTTTCCAGGCGGTCATTTCTACCTACGGGAAGCTCGATGACATAGCGGTAGGCTCCAGCGCTGTCGATATTGGGTCGTTCTCTAACGCTACGATCGGTCGAGCTTTGAGAGTTGACGGTGGATACGTAATCGAGGATCCAAGCGGACCCTTAGGTGCTAGCAAAACACCGTCTGGTCTTTTGCAATACACGTACACTGAGAGTCGGCCAGATTTTGGTATCGTCAGCTCTGTCAATGCAGGGTTCTATAATGCATCCACGAACACCCCCAACACTGTCGCCTTTACTTGCGCTACTGGTAACTGTACCTGGCCAGCCTTCGTCTCGGCTGCAGTGTGCAGTTCTTGCAAGGATGTCTCTGATACGCTCGTGTTCAATGGGTCGCATGGATCGAACGGGTCAACTATCGCGGGCGCCACAAATGTTTACTTCGAAGGGCAAGTATCCCCGTGCGAACTGCATGTGATATATAAACTGACCTTGTAAATCCGGATCCAGACCGTACTCCGTTTTCTCCCTACCAGAGACTGAGATCAAGAACTTCAATGGATTGTCGAAAGTAGACGACAACGATTGGTATAAGTATACTAGCGGTGCTGGAACAGGGACTCCCCTAACCTTTATGACGGTAAAGACTGGGTCTACTGCACGCCAAACTCTGAAACATTCTGACGTGCAAACTCTGATGATGAGCTTCAAAATCATCAAAGCTGCTGATGACTGGGTCAAATCGAAAGTACCATGGGAGTCGTCACATCCTGTCGCAACAGAATGCGCGTTGTATTTCTGTTCGAACATCTACCAAGCCAGTAGTAAGAACGGTGTAGTTGAAGAGAACGTCATCGGGTCTTGGGCTGTTCGAGACCCTGACTCACACAAAATATACAAAAGCACCGGATCTCTGGACTCGGAAGATGAAAGGTACATTGATAGCACCGGGTACGACCTATACAATCCTACCATAGATTTCCCGCGACACGACCTTCGGCTTCTCATCCCTCCCCAACAGGCGGGGGGCTTCTCTCCAATGGCGGCACAAGAAGTCAACATATCTCACGCGCTTCTCCGAAGTACTATCGACTATCTCCACTCCTTCACGAGCTATGCTGTAAAGTTCAATGGCGACCCACCGCCCTCTGTGATCGCCTTTCCAGATAGAGCTGCACCGGCTTTCGTGGACGCGTTATGGAACTCGACAAACCTGACCACAACATTCGAAAATGTGGCCCGTAGTCTCACAAACCAGATTCGCAATACCTCACCCGATCGACTGGAGGGTGTCACACAACGCTGGGTCACACACGTACGTGTCGACTGGGCATACATGGCTTTTCCAGTCGCGATGCTCTCGATAGGAATCCTATACGTGATTCTCGTCATAATCGAGTCTGCACGACTGAGAATACCAGTGTGGAAGGAGTCCGCGCTTCCCACACTAACGTATGGATTCGACAATGAGACACAACGGCTGCTGAGGGAGACGGCACACTACAAAGGAGATAAGAAGGTTAAGACGAGTGTGAGGTACGACCTGGATGAACAGGAAGACTGTTTGAGATTGATGGCTGATTAGAAGATGGCTGTTTGATAATCTTCAGGCGCGTCAATGTCCGGGCAGATATGAGGGGTTTAGCGCGTTCTGGAATGGGAAAGCTCCAAATTCTTCAGGGCGGCAATTTTGGAAGGAAGTCGCGTTCTCATGATAATGACATCAATGCACAAGAGCTTCGATGTTTCATCCCTTTTGCTAGGTGGCAGTGACCGCGTGAGGTTCGTGTCATAGACCCAAGTGGCACGCGATGGGGTGGCTGGTCGATAATCGCGCTAGCATCTAGTTACGTCACCCCACTTCGTTCCGATCGTGAGAGGACTCATTCCGAGCACTGCATCGCTCAGATCACGCCACGAAGTGAGTCAACGTATCAAACCTCCACCACAGCTTGAAGTGACCAATGCTCGCATCCAGGTGTACAAGCATCCTTAATAGATATCCGAGAGCCGTCCCAACTACGAGTTCCATACGCTACTTCGCATCACCCTTCTTTGCACAACATCCTCCACAACGACGAAAAAGCATGCTGCACTCAGCCACCGAGTCAGCGAAGAAGATCTTCGCACCAACAAGCAACTCCGAAGACCCCGGCCATGCAACCCAATACAACAAAGGCGCACTGGACCGTGAGGACCTCCTCCCCTCGCCAACCGACCAGTTCCACAAGTGGTTCCAGGAAGCCCAGGCCAACAACGTCTACCAGCCCGAAACCGTCGTCTTGTCCACCGCAGAACTGCCCAGTGGCAGAGTGTCAGCACGCACGCTCTATATGAAAGAGCTGGACGAGCGCGGCTTTGTCATCTACTCAAACTTCGATACAAGTCGCAAGGCGAGCGACATACGAAGCAATCCTCACGCGGCATTGACTTTCCACTGGCGCGAACTGGAGCGTCAAATTCGTGTCGAAGGAACGGTAGAGCGGCTTACGAATGAGGAGTCGCAGGTTTATTACGATACGAGGATTCGCGGTTCAAGGATTGGCGCGTGGGCAAGTCAGCAGAGTAGTGTGATTGAGAGTAGGGAGCAGCTAGAGAAGAGAGTAGAGGATGTGGAGAAGAGGTTCGATGGCAAGGATAAGATCCCCGTGCCGGAGTTTTGGGGCGGGCTGAGAATTGTGCCGGATATGGTGGAGTTTTGGCAGGGACGGCCAAGTCGACTGCATGATCGCTTTGTTTACAGAAAGGTTGGCGGGGAGGACAACACCGAGAAGATGAAGGGGGCAGAGTGGAAGATTGAGAGGCTGAGCCCGTAAGGAGGGAAGGCTCGCACTCAAGTCAGCTGTTTTCGTGCTAGGCGGAGGGTCAGAAATCATCGCAAGATCAAACATCAGATCGAAAGCCAACGGAAGTTAAAGCTACGAACAGAAGCATTGAATATGCTATGGTATCATTCATTCCTTTTGATCATGCGATAAGTCATAAAGTATAGACAAGACGTTTCCCAACCGCTTAGACCTCTCCATATAACGCCAGAAAATGTTCATAAATTTTCATAAGAACGACGAGATGCGACGAAATCCATCAAGACCTCCAACTTCACACCAAGCTGATAGGCTTACTCGCCATCTGACTCCATTTCCGCAGTCTATGAGGGTGTTAGCAATGCATCTCATGAATGGTCTGATTCCTTGGAACTTACGTTGTCGTGGAAGTTTGTTCCATGAGTGGTCTCGTTGATGTAGCCCTTCCTGATGACGAAGTCACCGAAGTGCTCACCCTCGTTCCTCTCCTTAGCGTACTGCTTGATCATAGGCTGCAGGATCTCAAGGATCTCTTCTTCCTTGATCGAGCTCCTGTAAAGCTTGTTCAGCCTTTGACCGTGGTAGCCACCACCAAGGTACATGTTGTACGCGCCATAAGCCTTGCCGACGAAAGCAATCTCAGCAAGCCAGGGACGTGCGCAACCGTTAGGGCAACCAGTCATGCGCATAACGATGCTGTCTTGTCGTAGCCCAGACTCTTCGAGCGTGCCCTCGAGCTTGGAGATCAGCTCAGGTAGGTAACGCTCAGACTCAGCCATAGCAAGACCGCAAGTGGGGAAGGCAACACAGGCGGAACTAGACAACCTCATTGCAGAGAAGTTGGTGTTGTCAAGCTTCCACTTCTTGAGCAGCTCTTTCATAGCAGACAGGTCTTCGTCGGCGACGTTGGCTAAGATCAAGTGCTGGTTACCAGTCAACCTGAACTCGCCCTTGTGTACCTTCGCCACCTCGATCAGACCAGTCTTCATTGGGAAATCGGCAGTGTCTTCAATGCGGCCGTTCTCAATGAAGAAAGTGAAGTGGTTGAGACCAGTCTCGTCCTTCTGCCAGCCAAAGGTGTCGATGTTGCTTTGGAACTTGAAAGGTCTGGGCTCGTCGAACTTCTGTCCCCAGAGCTCTTCGACCTTTCCCTTGAAAACATCGATACCCATGTCATCAATGGTGTACTTGAGACGGGCGTGCTTCCTGTTCTTGCGGTCACCGTGGTCACGTTGGACGAGCATGATCTTCTCGCAAGCAAGGTGCACTTGGTCGGCTGCGACGTAGCCGAACATGCTTCCAGTTCGCGGGTAGGTCTTCTTGTTGTTGTGCGTCACACCCATACCGCCACCAGCAAGTAGGTTGAAACCTACGAGGTTATCATCCTCACCCTTGATGGCAATGAGACCAATATCGTGAGCGTAAACATCGGTGTCGTTGTGAGGTGGAATGGCAATGGTGATCTTGAACTTTCGCGGGAGGTAGAGAGGGCCATAGAGTGGCTCGTGGTCCTGGACAGCTTCACCAGCGATCTTGCGCTTCTCCTTTGTCTCATCATCCTCCAGCCAAATCTCGTGGTAGGCAGTGGTAGAGGGAAGAAGGTGGTCGCTAATCTTCTGTGCAATGTTCTGAACCTGGCCGTGGTACTTCGACTGAGTAGGGAGAGAACTGCACATGACGTTTCGGTTGACATCACCGCAAGCCGCGATAGTGGTCATCAAGGCTTTGTTGATAGCCTGCATAGCCGGCTTGAGCTTACCCTTCACAACGCCGTGGAATTGGAAGGTTTGGCGAGTGGTTAGCTTCATGGTCTCGTTACCGAGCTTGGTGCTAATCTCATCCATCTGCAGCCATTGCTTGGGCGTCGAGACACCACCAGGTAGTCGGCAGCGGATCATGAAGGAGTATGCTGGCTCGAGACCTTGGGCCTTACGTTGGTCGCGAAGATCACGGTCATCTTGCATGTAGGTTCCGTGGAACTTGGTGAGCTGTTGATCGCTTGCAGAGATGGCACCGGTGCTGGTGTCGGCCAAACCCTCCTCAATGGTTCCTCGGAGGAAGTTTGAAGCGGCCTTCATATCCTCGTTGGTCAGCGGCGCCGGTTCCTCAGGAATGTTCTCGACGTTGGCAACACCAAGCTGCTCCCAGAGTTTTGGCTCCCACTCAGAGTACGCAGTCTGGTACGCATCTGGGTCCTGGTCGTCTCCAAGACCACACTCGGCCAAAGGCTTAGCACCAAGAGTGAGCAGACGAGCATGTAGGTCCTTTGCGGGCTTGTTGTAGTAGATCTTGTCCTCCTTGCGTGGCCAGTAGTGACTGTCACCGAGACCGAAAACACCAAAGTTGACTGTTGCAAGATCCAGATCCGTAGAGTCCTTGACGGTCTCCCAGAACGTGCGACCATTCTGAGGGAACTCTCCTTGACCAGCTACACTAGTCATCAGGATGACGTTCTGCTCGTTAGGCAGATCTTCGATTGGGAAGTCGTCCATAGCCATGACCATAGTCTTGAGACCACGAGCCTTGCCGCGATTCCCTAGCCGCTTGGCTAGATTCTCAGCATTACCGTTGTCGGAAGCGAAGAGAATGGTCATAGGATCGCCCTGGAGTCCTTCAAGAAGCTTGCTGTAAGCATCCTTGGCCTTGCGCTTTTGCAGTTGCCTGACTTCGGTTCCGTAGGATCCAGAGATGTTGGATGAGAACTCGGGATGTCTCTTCATGACCTGAGACATGTAGTTGTCACGGGACAGGAACTCCTCTAGCTCCTTCTTGATTCGCTCCGAGTCAAGTTTGAAGTTCTCTTCACCCTTCTCCTCGGCGCGTGGGTCCCATCGGTACAATGGCCAGTAACCAAGGTCAACAGCCTTCTTGGTCTCTTGCAAGACAGTCAGGGGCGTGTCGTTCTCCTTCTCGTAAGGCAGGTAAGCAAGCACGACGGAGGGACCGTTGAATTTGTCAGCCTCGATCATGGCCTCAAGAACCTGGGTGTAAGAGCTGTATACAGCGACCGATGCCACGTAAGCGTTGCCGAAGTTCATTGCGTACAGACCAATGTCCTTCTTCCGCCTCGCAGCGTCGGCGGCTGCGCGCTCGGAATACGGTGTTGAGTCGACGATGAGCATGTTGACATTCTCGCCAGAGGCAAGGACGTGGTGCACACCAGAGTTACCCAGGTCGTACGCCCAGGCGTCCGAGCCAATCAACCATGGTGATTCCTTGTAGAACAGCTTCTTTGATGACAACAGCTGACTGGCAGCGGGCGAACCGTCAGTACCCAAGCGTGCGATGACCTCAGAGGCCAAGTCGTTAGCCTTGTCGGTATCATCGGCGTTCAGTGCCCACTTCGACAGCCACTCTCTGGGCGCTTGGGTGGTGAAAGCGTTCTCCTTGGAAGCAGCCGCAGCCTCATCCACGAATCGCTGACGATGTTCCTTGCGCGCTACTAGCGAGCCGAATCCGTACTCTGGGGTGGAGGAGATCTCGTTGGAGATACCGGCGTGCTGCGAACCAAGCTGGTTAGCAATGTGAAGCTTCTCACCAAAGACCTGGTTCAAGATCTTCATGTAGGCGTTCTCTAACCCTGGTTGCTCGACCTTGATAGCCTGGGGCTCCGGTCCATCGAGGTTGCCGATGACGAGGTTTTGTACAGGCGTCTCGCTCATCAAGTTCTGGTAAACGCCGCGCATTGCTTGCGACACAGTGTCCTCGTTGATGTAGCCAAGTTGGTATCCGACAACCGTAGGGGAGGCGCCACCGGTCGACTTGAGCGACATCAGAAGGT